AAAAAAAAAAAAAAAAAAAAACAGCGAAAGCCATGAGGTTCAGCGTGAAGCCCCACGAGTTGCGGAATGAAAAAGTTTACCAGTTGAGAACTCAGGCCCCAAACCAAAGAGTAAGTGAAATGCGCACAGAAGGGGAAGAAAAACATTATACACTCCAAAGCTATCACTTTTCTTAGACTGGAACTTCATCAGTCAAAAATAAGACACAAACAGCAGTGATAAACATATTGAACTTGCACATTTCGATTATGACTTGACGTTTCGTATGTACTCAACATACATTTTCAAAAGTAACCGTTGAAATTTAAAACAGCAGTTGAAATTTAAAACAGCAAAAATATAACTAAGGTGAGGGGACTGGAACCTAGATTAAGCAAAACAAAAAAAACTTAACAATAAACAATAACACTACAGCAGATTAATAAAGCAACAGCTTTTCACTTCCGACGTTCACGTTGAAAGCTGGCTCAAGTTCTTGAACAAGTAAGGACTCTAAGTTTGCTGGCAGCTAATTTGCTGTACTCTAGCTTGATTACGAGACTTTCTCGACTCCCATTAATACCAAAGTTATCTTCTTGTTGCATTAACAGATCCTTCAGGAGATACTGTTAGTTCTTCAGTATTGAATTCATATGCTTGCGCGACTCAGTTATATTTCCGCTATATAAATGTGGATGTCTGTTGGAACTAGCAACAAGGCAAGGAAAATTTAGTGTACCTGTGAGCTGGGAAGAAAAGGAAAGAAGGGTAACGATTTACATGGAATTTCCACGGCAGATCATTTTCGTCCGCATTTATCCTGAAAAGCAATTTTCTTGAGTACACAGCATACTTAAATTGAAATTCTTAAATTGAACTGAATTTTTTCCAAAACAAAGACTAAAAACGTGTAAGGAAATGACGTGGTATCAAATCAAAAGAGAAAGAAATATAATTACGGTAATTACAATGCACAATGTACACCTATTAAAAATTTGTACACCTATTAAAAATAAGTAGAATAAACAAATTCCAACTCTTAGTATCTTTATCTTAAACTAATTGGAAAGAGTATTTTTCAAAGAAAAGATAATGATCCAAGTTAATATGTTGCATTTGCAATATAATCATTTCGAACCTTTCCGCGAGAAACATGACTATAACATGCAAGGATCCAAAAACTTTCCCTTCCTCGTAACCAGTGTTTCTGTTGATACACATGAAATGTTTCAATGCCTTCCAGACCTAAGCTTACTATATAATTGGATGCTCTCACATTTAACACTTACAAATAAATCAGCGATAAACCTTCTTCGATTTGTGGCTTGTTCTGTGGTGGCCATTATGAAAACAATTACGCACATGTGGTATGAAACGAATTGCGCCTTGACCTGGGGGCTAGAAATCTTCGCTGATCCACTCGTTCATCATTCTCGGCAAGTGAATAGACTTTCTGCGAAATTTTGATTGTCGAAGCTAAGAAAGTACCATTCATTATCATATTGAAAACAAAACCTCATTAAAATTAACTTTCAACGCACTTTAAAACACGCCTACTAACACTAGTATCGTCCACAGACCTCTTCAGTTGTATACGATGTTTCGTTTCGTTGTTTATACGGAACTGTGAGAGAGGGTTATTTAAACAACCCGCCCAGACCAACTTCAATGGCTTTGTAGTGCTGCCGTACGTACAGGGTGTTTCCGAGAAAATAAGTCGCATAGATATATATGTATCTAATATGTATCATATTAGATACATATGATGCACATATGTATCTAATACCGCAGTTCAAAATATATGAACTTCATATATTTCATTGTATCTGATTTATCACTTTCACGGGTTTCTTACGAATCAACTTAACGGCCTGCTCCCAGTTGGCTTGTTAGCTCAATTGGTAGAGCGCTGCACTAGTATCGCAGAGGTCAGTGGTTCGAATCCCGTACAGGCCTGATTTTTTTCAGGTCTGATTTTCGCTATTGCTTAAATAGCGCTATCTACTGCGAGGATCGTGCATCATATGTATCTAATACCGCAGTTCAAAATATATGAACTTCATATATTTCATTGTATCTGATTTATCACTTTCACGGGTTTATTACGAATCAACTTAACGGCCTGCTCCCAGTTGGCTTGTTAGCTCAATTGGTAGAGCGCTGCACTAGTATCGCAGAGGTCAGTGGTTCGAATCCCGTACAGGCCTGATTTTTTTCAGGTCTGATTTTCGCTATTGCTTAAATAGCGCTATCTACTGCGAGGATCGTGCATCATATGTATCTAATACCGCAGTTCAAAATATATGAACTTCATATATTTCATTGTATCTGATTTATCACTTTCACGGGTTTATTATGAATCAACTTAACAGCCTGCTCCCAGTTGGCTTGTTAGCTCAATTGGTAGAGCGCTGCACTAGTATCGCAGAGGTCAGTGGTTCGAATCCCGTACAGGCCTGATTTTTTTCAGGTCTGATTTTCGCTATTGCTTAAATAGCGCTATCTACTGCGAGGATCGTGCATCATATGTATCTAATACCGCAGTTCAAAATATATGAACTTCATATATTTCATTGTATCTACTAAAAAAAAAAACCTAAAAAAAACACCAATAACAATAAAATCAACATTCCACAATAATTACACTAACACAAATAACAATGATAACAATAGATAGACAATTAATAAATTAATTACAACAGAGTAGAACTCAGTTTCACTGTGCAATAGTCACATGATGAAATGTTCGTAGCCTCATTCACGATTGTGTGACAACAGCACTAGGGATCCTGAAATAATTCCACTCGCTCTTCGTGTTTATCAGTTGATCTTGTTGAACCTTATTGATCTGGACTGACTCTGAGATCTGTCTCAGCATAGAGTCACCCTGAAACACTCCCGTGACATTCATTGTGAACCATGGAATGTTACCGTCATGTTTCTCACATGAATGCCTCCACATAACTGAACTTTGCTCTCTCTGTTCCAAAGCTCGCAGACGTTCCTTCCCACGGGTGTATGCACTTCATGACGTCTCCCCGATGTATCTACTGCGGCAAAGTTGACACACTAGCTCATAGGTGACACCAGTACTCCGGCAAGGGCCTTTTCCACCGATGCTGCAGACCAGACAGTTGATGTTGTTACATCGATTTTCTCTGAACGGGTCTGACCTCTGCAAAATCCGCTTTAGAGTCACATCAGACTGCTCGACCACTTTGACCTTGAATCCTTAATCTCTTCCATGTACCGATTTTTCAGCTCCGAGGCTGGAGTTGCTGGCACGAATGTCACCGTGTCAAACCCTCCCTTTCTGTACCAGGATTCCCGCTTTTCTCTTCTCTTCTCTTCTGATCTCGTTCTATCCGCTTCCATTCTCTCGGTCTGTACAAGGGTTGCTCACCACTCGCGTCCAGCTCTATCATACGATTGTATGCTTTCAGTGCTGACCGCACAACCTCGGTTCTGAACTTCTGATTATAGCCAGAGTACTGTAGGCGCTACATCATGTGGTTCACGTGGCCGACAACAACTTCCCAAGGAAGCTCCCTGCTGCAGTTGAATAATATCCTCAAGACCTCTTGAGTGAGTATGGTTCTTTTACCTCTCCAAGACATGGCTGACCTGGCATTGACCACACACTTTGATGCCACATCCTTAGAATAAAACTCGTGCAAAACCACACTCACTTTATTCTCTCCTTCTCCCACACCCTGTGCCCGCCTCGACTCCACCCAAACTTTCAAATTAAGGATGGGCAGTTTGCCATCTACATGTTGCGAAGGGTAATCAGCTTCTAACGAAATGGACGGGTGAATGCTGTTTCCAATCTTCTACACCAGATTCATGCATCTTTTATCAGCTTTCATGGCCAGCTCTTGTTCAAGGAGGTCTTCACCTCGGATAACCCTACCCTCACTCTCAATAAACCTAAGGCCTGCACCGGGAACATCTACAACGACATTTATGTCATCGACATATCTCTTGTACATCCTCACCCTCAACCCGTTCTCATCCATCTTGGTCTTGAACTGCCTATCCCACCATACCATGAACAACTGAGCAAGAACGCCAGTAAGTTGTAAGCCTATCAGACCCCCCTTGGACTGCAGCTTTATCTGGCCGTCAAACTTGTACAAATGGTTTCTCATTACACAAGAAAAAACCACTTTCATTGCTTCAGTGAACATTCTCCTCACTGCATCTTCGTCGGGATCCTCAGCCGGAGGTAGCCAAGGCCTAAACCTCTTGGTCCTATCCTCATCTAGGGCACAACCCGTGATGGTGGGCGGCCGGCCTCTGCTGGTTTTACGTCGAGGGAAGAATTGTAGCAACCCCGCCACTTCTAACTCCGCCTCAGATCTGTTTATTGCTAGATACAGCCCTAGTTCTTCCTTGTTCAGACCATCAACCCGTACACCGCTGGTGTAAAAAACTTCACAAACCTTCTCTATTGTAAAAGGTATGTCCAAACTCGGGTATAAAGCCTTCATATCTGCTGAGCAAATGACGACATCCTCTACGATACGGCTATCATTCACCCCCTTGAAGCCAGCCAACATCTCCTCGGTGTTTAAGCATACACTCTCCTCTGCCTTCCAAACCTCCGTCAAAATCATACTCATTAAATATGATAAGTTCCTGTTGTAAGCCGATATCGCTCCACATACTGGTCGAACCGGCGGGCCAACGTTTTGATTAAGTGTTGCTTTGCGATCTTTCCTCAACGTATACAAAGGCGCAAGTGTACAATCAGTCACAATCATGTTGTTCTTAATTCTAGCTTGCCCTCCCGTCACCTCACCCACAGAACCGAATGTGCATTAGCTTCTGCCTGTACCCTTTCATGCATTTCCTCTGCAACAGTGTGGTCATTCTCAACATGTGGTTGACACGCGACACGATAATTAACCAGAGTGTCAACCGCAAACCTCCCAGACTTGTCCGTCTGAAACACAATAGCAGCATTCCCCTTACTCCTTAAGGATCTCAGCCTTTGCTGTTCCTCACTCGTCAAATCACCTTTATCTATTTTCCTGCCTTGTTCGTCGACGTATTCCTCTGTTACTCTCATCAGTTTCCTCCTGAGGTGTTGCATATCAATCTCCTTGTCACCTTCCAACACATTCGACAAGCAGACTCTCTTGTTAAACGGAAGATCCGGTGGTCGCAGGTAACGCAAATGAAAGGCCCCATTTTCAACATCAAATGGCCACGCCCTTCCTTCCCCTCTCTCCACCCGTATCTCCTCCGAGCCAGATATTTCATCCACAACATTTCGAAGCGCCGACCAGCGTAGCTTTGCCAACCCTTTCTCAATCTGGTTCTTGCATGACATCAGGTTGATCTTCTCATAAAAAGCAAACCTCGGTGGAAGGCACAACACTTTCTCCTCCTGACGGGTTAATTCTATGCCTCCATAACACCTGGGGTTGGATGAGAATGTTGATGGGATAGACTGATCTGCAACCGTTATCCCTTCAACTTCGGACACACAATCAGCCACATTCTCCGCGCCAAACTTTTCTAACAAGAATTTGACCTTCCTTTTCCTCTTTCTCCTCAGAAACAACCAGTGCCTCCGTTTCTCTCTCTCCCATACACTTTCGAAATCACATTTCACTCCTTCGTGCCACAAAACACGTTCCTTTTTCCTCCAAACCTTGGTGTTGTTGTACCGTTCCTTTCTTACAACTGCCCACGCATCACGCAGTTTCCATTTCATAACCATGTTTATGAGCGTCGTTCTCCGTCGTTCAGGCAATCTCAAACACAACCTTGTAGAAAGACTCTCGACCGATGGTAAGGGTATCTTTTTTCATGACAGATCCCCAAGTAAATCCGCTACATAACACGCGCTCTGCAGTCTGTTGGTCTGATCCATTGTGCGTCTCATAGCCTCTAAAACCCGAGCGGGATTCCGACATTTTTGCGAAATTTTGACTGGGTTCATAATGAATGTCACGGGAGTGTTTCAGGGTGATGCTATGCTGAGACAGATCTCAGAGTCAGTACAGATCAATAAGGTTCAACAAGATCAACTGATAAACACGAACAGCGAGTGGAATTATTTCAGGATCCTTTTTGACTTCCTTGTGCGTGACGGGCAATGAATCAATCAAACGCTCTTCAACTCTAAACACTGCGTGTTCGCCTCCTGCTGTTGACGACAAAGGTAGGCGTGATAAGGCGTCGGCGACCGCATTCTGTTTGGATGGAACAAATCTAATGTCGTAATCAAAGGCTGCGAGCATTATTGCCCAACGTTGTAGCCGCATAGCCGCCAGGGATGGAATTGCCGTTTTTGGCCCGAAAATCCGCTCTAAAGGCTTGTGGTCGGTAAGGATCGTAAAATGTCGACCATAAAGGTATAGATGGAACCGCTTTAATCCAAATACAATTGCCAGAGCCTCTTTATCAATCTGACCGTACCGTTGTTCGTGTTCGTTAAGCGTTCGCGATGCGTAAGCGATGGGACGACGTATGCCATTGGAATAGACGTGCATTATAACCGCGCCTAGACCATAAGGCGAGGCGTCGACGGATAGTTCTACAGGGAGTTCTGGGTTGTAATGCGTCAAGGTAGTTTCTGATGTGAGCGCTTGTTTCACGTTGCCGAATGCTTGTTCACAACTTGACGTCCAGTTCCACGGTCTATTGCCCAACAATTCATACAGAGGGTGCGCCATAGTTGATAGCCTCGGAATAAAGTTGCTAAGTGCTGCTAGCATTCCCAGGAAGGAACGTAATTCTGTCACGTTACTTGGCAAGGGGGCCTCCCTGATAGCTTTAACCTTTTCGTCCGTCGGCTGAAGCCCCCCTTCAGAAAAGCGTAGACCAAAGTATACCACGGAAGGTGCCAAAAACACACATTTGGGAAGCTTGACTCTTAGCCCGTACTTCTGAAACTGCTTGAAGACATTTTCTAAATTACGAAGGTGTTCCTCATCGTTGACCCCTCCTACCAAAAGATCATCCATAATCACACAAGTTCCCTCCAGACCTGCAAGCACTTGCTCAATAAAACGTTGCCAGATAGCGGGACTGGATGAAATGCCAAATGGCAGACGCGTATATCGAAATAGGCCCTTGTGCGTATTGATCGTGCATAGCTGTTGAGAGGCCTTATCCAACACCAATTGTTGATAGGCGCTTCTCAGATCGATCTTGGTGAACTTCTTCCATGTAGAAACTTTTCC